TGAAGGTTTAGGGTTTAGGGTGCAGGGTTTAGTTTAGGGTTTAGGGTCACCCCCTCACCGAAACCGGGTACTTAGCAATCAAATGCCACTGACCACTCTAAACTCCAAGTGCACTTCCCCATCTACCCGGAGGATTCACCCAAAGCCCCCAATGTAGGGGCCTCAGTAATTACCTACATTATTTTGGGGGTTCCTTATTATACTTATAGTATAATGGGCACCAAAACCCTATTCTAACTATTCAGGCCCCAAGATTAGCAGCCCTTGTTTACACACTATGAAAAACTAGAAAGCCCCCTGCTACCACCCTCGCATAACCCTTCCAAAATTTTGAAACCCCTAAAAGCAACAGGTAAACGCTACCCAAAGACAAAGCCTCTGAACCCATCTGGAAAAGAACCCTAAACCCGAAACCCCTAAACCCTAAACCCTAAACCCTAAACCCTAAACCCTAAACCCTAAACCGTAAACTCTAACCCCGAAACCCAAGCCCTGTGACACTTAGGAACCCCCGGAATGGGGCGATCCTCGACCCGAAGCCCCAAACGCAAAAAACTCGGCCCCGAAACTTTAAGCCACCCAAGCCCTAAATCAGAATACCCCCCCCCCTCCGGTTTAGGGTTTAGGGCTTAGGGAACGCTAAACCCGAAATACCTAACTAAGATTTTTTAAAGCTCTAATGATGTAAGCACCAAACACAGGCGATGCTTCTTGGATCCTCGAGCTTGAACTTCGGGAGTTTATCGAAACTTCGGACGTCTCCTTCGAGAAGGCCCGGGCGGATTGTGCAATAAAGGGGTAGGTGAGTGTGCGTCTGTAAAAACAACTGGTAAACTAGTAACCAACTGTTTAATGATGTACATCAATAAGCATATATATATATATAAATATAAAATGTGTGTGTGTGTGTGCGTGCGTGCGTTTATTTTTGTATACATACATAGCTGTTCATATCTATATATCTATATATATATATATCTATGTATATATATATATATCTCTCTGTATA